CTAACAGAAGTATTGGGAGCATAAGCTTTCGTGGGTAAGAACCTCACTTCTTCAGATGCAAGTGAGGTTCTTATCCACGAAAGCTTATGCTCCCAATACTTCTGTTAGTCTCAAAGGTGCCACAGGACCCTCTGTTGCTTTTTACAGATTCAGACTAACACGGCTACCCCTCTGATACTATAAAATGGATGGTATACCTTAATGTTATGTCCCTCCCTCCCTTTGACACCCTCCCCCCCCCCCGCCTTCCCCATCCCTCTTCAGGGACCGCTCTTGCAAGCTTTTACTGAGACAAGACGCGAACTGTCTCTTTCAGTTAGGAGCAATAAAGCCAGTTCCTGTTCCTCGCAGGGGCTAGTGATTTTACTCTAAGTATTTCCTTGTGCCAAGGATCTTATTTAGATCTAAGACTTCTAAACAAGTTTGTAAATTCTCAAAAGTTCAGAATGTGTGACTCTGGCAGCTATGATTTCTTCCTTAGAGAAAGGGGTTTGGTTTTCAGCCCTCAACGTACAAGATGCATATTTCCGTATAACAATATACCCATCACCCAGGAAATACCTATACTTCACTATAGACTAGGATCATTTCCAATACTGAGTGCTTTCCTTCAGTGTTTCCTTGGCCCCAAGGTTGTTCTCAAAAGTCCTGGCAGTAGTGGTTGCTTACCTCTGACAAGAAGCAATCCTATTCTTCCCATACCTTGACAACTGGCTACTCAAGGGCCGTTCCTACGAAGCAGTGCTGTCCTCTACCCAGATGGTCCTTGCGGTGGTCCAGAGTTGGATCTATAGCTGAATGGAAAAACGTCCACATCTAACCCCTGTACAGAAGAGTTTTTAGGGGCATATTTGGACTCATTGACAGCCAGAACCCATCTTCCTTTAGACAGCTTCTTAACTTTGTCATGTCTGAATGGGCAGTTCAGGGGAGCCCTTGGACCACAATAAGGAATGGACTTCAGGTCCTGGGACATGTGGCAACTTGCACCTTTTTGACAAATCACACAAGGCTACCTTTACATTGCTTCCAGAGTTGGCTCAAAGCAGCATATTATCCAATCAAACACATCTTGGACAGACAGTTGATGGTTCCTCTGCAAGTGAGGGACTCTTCAGATTGGTAGAAGGATCAACTCAATGTCTATGAAGGTGTTCCTTTCTGTTGCCCAGCCCCATCAGTGACTTTAACAACAGATACATCACTGTTGGGATGGGGAGCCTTCCTCAATACCCTCACAACTCAGGCCACGTGAACAACTCAAGAAATCACCCTGATACTCCTCCCTGTGCAGCAAAGTCGTGAAACTGTGGAATTGGCACATAGCTCATCAGATCCAAATTTCACCAGTCTACCTCCCAGGTATTCAGAACACCACAGCTGATGTCCTCAGCAGACACTTCTCACAGGATTAGGAATGGAAGCTAGATACCCAAGGTCTCCACAGAATATTCCTAAAATGGGGACTGCCAGAAGTGGATCTATTTGCCACCTCCAGTAACAATAAGTGTGCTGTTTTCTGCTCTAGAGGGGGTCTGGGCCACCACTCCTAGGGAGATGCCTTTCTTCTATCTTGGAAGAAGGGTCTGTATGCATTTCCTCAAACACTGCTACTACTGATGGTGATGAACAAGATCAGACAGGGCAGAACCAACATGGCCAAAACAAGCTTGGTACCCTTACCTGCTTCACATATGTGTCCAACTGTTGTCTTGGCTCCCAGCTATTCCTCACCTACTGTCACATGATACTGGTTGTATGCTTCATCCCAACCTAGCAATTCTCCGCCTCAGGGCATGGCTCCTTGATGGGTCATAGAGAATCCTCCTGCTCTATAGAAGTACAACAGGCAATTCTGAATACTAAAGAACGATCAACCTGCACTACTTACCTGTAGCAATGGAAGAGAGTCTTCCATTGGTGGTATTGTTGCCTCTTGCCTGATTTGGTGCTGCTTTGATTATCTGTTGGAGCTAAAGAAATCAAGTTATCAGTTAGTTCGATTAAGGTCCATTGGCCACAGTATTAGCCTTTCATTCTCCAGTAGAAGGGCTCTCCAAATTTGGTCATCCAGTATCATCTATTTATTTATTAAGGGTTTTGGAGAATCTCTATCTGCAGATTAGAAACCCTATCCTGACTTGGGACCTCAACCTGGTACTCAGATACCTTATGAGACCTCCATTCGAACAAATGGCAACCTGTTCTGTGTTGCATTTATGTATGAAGACGGCCTTGTTAGTAGCCATCACATTGGCCTGTAGGGACGGGAAGATTGGAGACTTGATGGCAGATTCCTCCCCACCCCCTTTCACAGTGTTCTTTAGGGACAAGGTCTCTTTATGTCCACACCCTACATTCTTACCTAAGCTTCTATTGGAGTTCCCCCTTAGCAGTCCATTCATCTACCAGTGTTTTCCCCAAAGTCACATAGTTCTTTCTCTGCAGGAATCTTGTTTACATACCTTGGATGTTAGAAGGGCATTGGCTTTCTACTTCGATAGGACCAAGCAATTTAGGAAATCCATATAAGCTCTTCATTTCCTTCATGGATGGATCCACGGGGTCCTCAGTCTCTACTTCGAGATTATCAAGATGCATATGTGGATGTATTACTTGTCATGATGTTGCAGGCATTCATCCACTTCCCCCCACCACCACTACCACTGAAAGGGTGATAACACATTCAACTAGATCTTAGGCAGCATCTACAGCATTATTGAAGAATATAGCAATATCTGAATTATATAGGGCCACTACATGTACATTTTTGAAACATTATGCCCTGATCCATGTTGCCAGATCCAATGCAGCACTTTGTTCTGCAGTACTGTCTTCAGTTCTGGACTCTATTCTAAAGCTCCCTCCTCCATCTGGGAATACTGCTTGGAAATCATCTGAAGTGGAGCACCCATAGACACGCTACTCACTTGGTGCAGTAATTGCAGTTCTTCAAGACGTGTGTCCCTATAGGTGCTCTCCTTCCCCTCTGCTTCAGACTGTTCCTTACAGGACATTTAGGTGGAGAAGGAGCTGAGGGTGGTTTGCCCAGGCATCCCTATACAGCCTCGGTATTAAACATGAGGAAGCATTAAGGCATATGTGTGGGCCAGATAGACACTAACTGAAAATCTCCAACCAAGGGCTCGAGAGGTGCATGTGCATGTGAAGTGGAGCCATCCCTCAGGGGACACATGAAGAACCACAGTTACTGCACAAAGTGTGTAACCTCTTCTTTCCCTTCTGCCCGCACACTATGAGCTTTATTTCTGTGTGGTGAGATTAATTTAGGGATTTTTACAAACGTCATAATAAATGAAAGTCAATATAGAACTGAAGTGATCTACCAAAGTTATTGGCTATACTGTGTGCCCTGTTGTGGTTTCTTTTTAAAATCAATTAGATAAATTTAGATTACCACTCCTCTTCGACTGATGCTTTAAAAGAGGATGCATTTATAATGTTGGAGGTAAATCTGTCCGCTTTGCCTGATGGATGTGCCTTGAAAATTTAAAGTTACATCTAATAGTTGAAGGTTTTGAGTAAATAATTAAATCGTTGTGCTGTGTGTTTTTTTGCCACTTCGTGCCTTGTATTTTGAGGAAATTATTCTATCTGCAGAGACAGTTGGAGATCTTAGATTAACTTCTGGCTTTCAGAAACCAATCTAAAAGAAAGGCATTAGTATTTCAACCTAAGTTCCCTCTAAGCTCTGGGTACCAAAGGCCGCGCAGAGGTAGGGAGTAGGGTGGGGAGCAAGTTACTTGGGGCATACAGGGCTGCAGCAGGGGAGAGGCGCTTCTCCCACGGCCCCAGTCCCGGAGCTGCTGTGGCGGGGGAGAGGTGCTTTCCCCCCTGCTGCAATGCATTCACTTTAACTAGTTTCACAGTAAGTAAGTCAGGTTAAAACTTGGCTCTTAAGACTACCACAATCCTGGGAAAGGGTACTGGGGTTACTAATGGTTAAAAGATTAGAACCTATTTAAAATCACTAATTACAAAGAAAAGAACCGGGAGTGCAAAAGAGTGTACTCAGCAAGGTTTATATAGTTTTGTATCACTGGCTGCAGTTTAATTGCAACTACTATTGCCACTTTTTACCAGTACAGAGAGTATGTGTACTTTAAGTGACTACTTCTAATGCAAAGCTTTCAACTATAACAATATCATCAAATAGTGTAGCACAAAAATCTGTGGTACCTTAAATTTGGTTGGGAATGTACTCTGTCTTAAAGATTTCTATTAAATAATTAAGCAAAATTCCATATACCATCACGGACCAAAGGCATGCAACAAGCCAGTAAAAAAACATTTGGGGATGGGGAGGGGAGAAACTGAGAATTTCTGCACAATTTTATTCCTGTTTGTCAAAATTTCAAGAGAAAAGGAGTTCCAAATTTTTGTGTGCAAAATTTTGACCAGCTGTAGTAAAAACCTATTGCCAGGTTTACACTACCCTGAAAAGTAATTTAGCTCCCTCTGCTGGTTTTACGTCAGCAATGCTCCGTCCCTGAGCACATCCTGACATCAAAAGTATGAATGCCCAATCAAGCAAGCTGTTAACAGAGAACCTTTGATAAAATGTAGTTTCATTAGGAAGAGCAGGTGATAGCACACAGCTGTGTTTTCAAATAGAAGAAGAAAGATTTGGTAGGATAAGCTAGTTTAAAGTAACAGCAAATGTTATGAACTTCTATACAGATATCTTTAAAGACTTAAAAAGCAAACACCAGTGTTGGGGTGTTTTTTATGATCAGCTTCAGTGTGGGAGGTATGAGAGAGTTCTTTTAAAATTATAATTACTCCCATTTGTGTTAGTAGACCTGCATTTGAGGAAGTAAAGATTAAAGTTTCTGGATGGGATTTCCAGAAGCACTTAGTGTTTGCTTACCTCTCCTTCACTGGAGTCAGTGGGAGAACTTCAGTGGGAGCAGAGTTAAGCCAATGCTGACTGCTTTTGAAAAATATCCCACTCTACATAACCGAGGTATGCTGACTCAGCACCTCACATGCAAACCACTTGAATTCAAGTGGTAGGGCCTGAACCCCAACCCTCTGCCCCAGCCCTGAGCCCCTCTCCACACTCCAAACCCCTCGGTCCCACCCCATACCTCCCAACCTCCATATTGGTGAACATAACAAAATTAATTCTGCACATGGATGTAAAAAATTAGAGGGAACATTGATTTAAACTATTTTATATAATAGACTATGATTAGCATCCTGCTAGTGGTACTCTAATAAAAGACTATTGCCAGTGACCTGCATAATTCCTCCGATGTGCTGCAATCTACTTTCAGATTGCAGTGAAAGATTAATTATTTTAATTATGGACACAACTAGCTGCTATAATAATACTAAAGTGGAAAGGGGAACATTTGTTGCCATCCTTTTAACAAGTTCTTTTTAATATTTTTGTTATAATAAAGCATGCCAGATTAAGAGTTATTCCCTCACAATGTCATGTCATAAAAAGGAACTAGTTTTACTAGTACATACTTTTTGTTGCAGAAATGTTCTTTGCTGTTGAGAGGAATGAGTATGCAGCTTTAAATTTTTCCTTTTTTTACTTTTAAATAAAGGAAAATAATTTTATTTTTCTTTACTTTTTACATTCTATAAGAAGTTAAGGAACAGAAGAAATAAGGGATATATACATAGTGTGGTTGTCAATATAGATGGGCACTTCATTCCTAAAATATTATTTCGTATCTTGTTTGTAGGCTTAGTCTATAACCAGGTTTGTTTGTCTTCACAGACCTCTGCATGTTGCTGCTCGAAATGGATTAACAGTTGTAGTTCAAGAACTTTTAGGCAAGGGAGCAAGTGTACTTGCTGTAGATGAAAATGGTAAGAATAAAATTTACCTTGTTTTCTAGTAAGGAACAGTAGTTTATGCTCCTGGTTTGGAAAGTGGTAAACTTTCTTAAGTTTTATACTGATTATATGATGGAATGCCTTCTTCTAAGAATGGGACATGTGGATGTGGATCAGGTTAGCAAAGCAGGAGAAATGGAAGAGCCTGATTATGTTTGGAACATTAATGCAGGTTATCAAACGCAAATAGTTGATTCCACATTGCAGTCTGATTATATTAGGTGTAAATACAATTGTTTTAGCAATATTGGAAACAATCATAAGAGCACAGTATCAGAGTATACTCCTACTTTTGGACATTAGTGACTTGGGTTTAATAGGCATGCACTAAAATCTTTTGAGTATACATTTCTAAAAGTAAGTATGTGCCACAGATCCCAGTTTTTGGGTCTCACGCTTCTGGCTTGTAAGAGCTTTGCAGTACATAGAAGCAAGGAAACGTAACTGCCTCATCTCAAAGGTGAAATCGTGCACTTTGTAGGGGCATAATAGAATTTAACTCCATCAACTGTCACTTCCTTTTCTCCTATCTGAAAAGCTCTGTAGTCCTTGTGCTGTTTTATTTCCTAGCAAGGAAAGTGATGGAGTGGTTGCTGGTTTTTTCAGCAGAAATGACTGTGAAATTTATAGTTTCAGTCACTTTTTACGCTTTTTCTCTTTCTCTTGTAACTTCCCATTATGTTTCTGATATTTCACTGCTTAATCTATCTGAAACATTATTTATCATAGGTAGTGGTTGCCACATCAGTAGTTCTCTAAAATGAAGAGAGATTAGAAGGGTAAAATATTTTGGGGGGGATTTTTTTAGTTTGTGTAGCTTGTGAATTTGACAGAACTATTTGTCTGATCAGTTTCACTGTTTCCCCTATGTAGTCAGTCAGTCCCCCTGTTTGTGTGTGTGTGTTTCACATTGCAACAGGGGAGAAAGAAACATTTTAGTAAAAATCACAGAATTGTCAGAGGGACTCAGAAGAAAGTGTAGTAAGTGAACTTTTTTAACTTGAATTTTTAATTTCAAATTGAAAGGACCTGTTGGTTTTATCTAATTTAATTATCATTTGGGTTTCTGGTTTTTCTTTATAGCGACAGTTTAATTTCTTTGTTTTCAGCAGCCCTGGATGTCCATTATGAATACAATCTGGCTTTTTCTTTGGCATGGCCATGTCAACTTAGGATCTGAGATAGCAAAATGATGATGCTTTTAGTTAACAGAGCACAAGTTTCAAGTCTGTCTTATCCTTTTATAAGGGATTGGTAAATCCAGTTCAGGAAAATGGAAGTCACGATAGGCTTAGTGGGAAGGAGCAAACAGAAAGCATTCATTACTACTGCAGCCTTTTCTTTACCTTAGTACAAAAGGTGAGTCATGGGAACAACAAAAACCTTTGCAGGCGTGAGATCTAGAATTCTTGGCATGGTGACTGTTTATCAATGTAAGTGGATCATTACATGGAATTCATGCAAAAACTGCTGGAATATCTTCTATGTTGGCCTGTCTAGGTTACAGGTATCTTCCCTGTGTTAATTTAATAGAAATTTGGCTTTTTATGACTATGGAAAAGATAGACCAACTTCAGTTTAGCCCTCCACGTTCCAATTTATGAGAGAATTGTTGCATTTAAAACTCTGTTAAAAATCTTCTTAGTAATAACCTCCAGTATCATAGGCAATTAATATCCTTAGCTGATAAAACCTCTTTCTGAGCCACTAGATTCTTGTGACCTCGTGTTTTAATTTTAAACTTTTATTCCTAGCTTCAATTTAATCTCTTAGGATTAAATTCACTTGATATAACTGATTGTATTAAGTTTTAGGTAAGAGTCACGGTGGAAATTAATCCTAAATTCCATCTGTTACCACTTTAATCATTCAGCAATTTTCCTCTGCTGTCTGTCTTTGTGAAGCTCTTTGTCACCAAGTAAATTTGAAAAGATTTACTGAATTTTATTAAATCAGGCAAGTGCTACCCAGCCATAAGTTTATCGAGGTTTTTTTCCTTCATTTGGCACCAGAACGTTAAGTAAGTTTTGGTCTAAGAAAACCTTCAAAAATTGTTCACAAGACTACATAACTTTAGCTAAACTGCCTTTAACTTGTCATATAAAAGGTGCCTTTGATCAATAGTATACGAGTGATAGCAGCCAGTCTCAGACTTCAGGTGTGCAGGGCATCTACATGAGTTTTCTACTCCTGCTAAACATCATTTTCTGAACTCTATATTTTCTACAATGATTCATTGTCATGTCAGTGCTGAAAAACCTGTTTATGTCACAGCTCTTCCCATGCTCTGTTTAAATTTGTTTAAAATGCCTCTATGGGTATGCTTGAGGCATGGTAGCTCTCTCTCAATCCTCTCTCAATAATCCTTTTTATTGATGAGTAGAATATGAATAACGTCTTTTTCCCCTCAGAGTGGGAGGAATCTTGTTTGGTTCACTTTTATTAGTATTCATTGAGCTTATTGTATTCAGCTCTGTCTTCACTTGTAGTACTGGAGCTTTTAAAATCTCTAAGGGGAGGCAGTGTTGCCGAGCACTGGACTGAGTTCTATTCCTCTGCCTGCCACTGGTGGTTTGCTGGGTGATGTCACCTCCCGGTGCCTCAGTTTCCCTATATGTAAAATGTGGGTAATGATATTTGCCACCTTTGTAAAGCACTTAGAGATGTATGGCTGAAAAGTGCTATATAAGAACTGGTGGTTGAGGGCACAGATGTCC